ATTGAATGAGCATATAGGTAAGGTACTTAATTTACATTGTCCCTGGAAAGCACTTAAAAATTAGCTATTATGTGAGTTGTGACGGCAAGTCTAAGGGAAAGTCATGTGGGATATCCAAATTTCAGTAAGTTTACCATGTTAAATATCTTAGAAATGGCAAAAAAGAATGCAAGGTCATATCAAGTTTAAGTCTTTGCTAGTTAGAAAATACATTTTCCCACCTATGAAGGATGCTTGACTAAAAAACAAAAAAACAACTAATCAAGCCTGCTAGAAATATAGGGGATTTTTTTTTTAAAAAAGACAATTTAAAGACATCATACCACCTAGACTCAATCAACCAAATCCAGAATATGGGAAATTATAGAAAACAACCCAGTTTCTTCAACAAATCAATGGCACAAGGGGATGGAAGATTGCAATAGATGAAAAGACTTTGGAGACCAAATGCAATACAGTGTATGGCCTCATTATGATTCTGATTGGACAAATTGTAAAAAGACCTTTTTTAGGCAAATGGAGAAATAAGAGGAATAAGTGGAGAAATAAGTGGTGAATAAGAGGAGTATTAGATGACATCTAGTAATTCTTTTTTTTAAAATATATTTTATTGATTTTTTACAGAGAGAAAGGGAGAGAGATAGAGAGTTAGAAACATTGATGAGAGAGAAACTGCCTCCTGCACATCCCCCACTGGGGAAGTGCCCGCAACCCAGGTACATGCCCCTGACCAGAATCGAACCCGGGACCTTTCAGTCCGCAGGCTGACGCTCTATCCACTGGGCCAAACTGGTTTCAGTGATCTAGTAATTCTTAATTCTAGACAAACTACTGGCACTAAGGTTCCTTTTAAAAGTGTTAATATGTTAGAGATACATACTCTGTTATTTGCAGGTGAAAATAGATAAATGAAAATATATTATTTGGATCCCTGAGAGTTCGAAGGTCTTCAGAGTTAGAGAGGAAATGAATTAGGAACCAAAAGATGCAAATCTAATCAAGGAATGGACAGACTCTTGCTGCCCCCAAATGAGCACTGTGTGATCCCAAGATGAGCACCCATCAAGCCTCAAAGGCCTCTACGTGGTATTTTCCAAAGGGACTTAGTAGGGCAGTAGTGGTGGTAAACCCTGCATGTCTGCAACTATAAAACTCAGGTCCTACCCAAATCTCTGCTGTTGCCTCAATTAATTGGGGCAGCATCTCCCTCCCTCAGCAGCTCAGCTCTGGTTACTGGGATGGTGACAGTCTTCCCCAGGGCTTCATATCTTCCCACTTCAGGAAAATAACTAATAGGCAGGGTTTAAGAAAATCAAAACCATAGTTTCTGTAGTAAGAAGAAATCTGGATACATTAGATATTTTCTGTACTACAAATGTGTGCAAGAATTTCGCTTGAGATACTCCCTTCTGAGAACAATTTAAAGTGTGTGGTTGAGTAACTGATATAGACTCCTGATTTTAAGTTGAAAGCTTATGAAGCCTAAGCAGCGTTTCAGAACATCTAAAAAAATTCAAAGTTTACCAAATTTAGCCCTGGCTTGTGTGGCTCAGTTGGTTGGGAATTGTCCCATACACCAAAAGGTTGTGGGTTCAATTCCTAGTCAGGCACATGCCCAGGCTGTGAGTTCGATCCCCAATAAGGGGTGTGCAGGAGGCAACCAACTGATGTTCTGTTCTCACAACAATGTTTCTCTTTCTCCCTCTCTCTAAAAATCAATAAAATTACTTTAAAAAATAATAAAATTTACCTAATTTGTGAGTATAATTGGGACTTTATAAAAATTAATACTTGAAAAAGATTGATGTATTGTCAGGTGGTAACTGAAGTACCTGAAAAGGAAAGAAAATGTATTCAATATATAACTTTATATGAAATGTATAAATTCCAGCAGAGGTCAGCAAACATTTTCTTAACGGGTCAGGTAGTAAATAGGTTAAGCTTTGTGGGCCAGAGGCTCTCTGTCACAACTATTCAGTTGTGCCATTTATTGGGAAAGCAGCCATTCTATATAATAAAAGCCTAATATGCTAAGTGTCCAGTCATCTGGTCGGCCATTCAAGCAATCAAAGCGTAATATGCTAATGATATGCTAAGGCAGCTCAACTGCTTATTATGATGTGCACTGACCAACAGGGGGCAGTCAACTGATGGACCAGTCGCTATGATGTGCACTGACCACCAGGGGGCAGACACTCTGACAGGTAGGTGAGCTTGCTTCTGGGGTTTGGCCAATTGGGACTGAGTGAGATGGGCCGGATATGCCCTGGAGCCCTCCCGTGGTCCCTCCCCAACTGGCCAACCTCCTGCGTCCCTCCCTGGCCCCAATCATGCACCAGTGGGGTCCCTCAGACTGGCCTGCACCCTCTCGCAATCCAGGCTGAGGGTCTCCCCACCCCCAAGTGCACGAATTTCATGCACCAGGGCTCTAGTAGATAATAAACATATAAATGAATGGACATGGCTGAGTTCTAATAAAAAGTTATTTATAAAAACAAGTAGCAAGCCCTAGGCTAGAGTTTGCCAACCCCAAAGGGCCTTCTATTAAACTGGGCAGCCTTTATAAATTGAAACAAACAGTATTCAAGACCCCTTGAAATTATTGCTAAATTTTATAGACTTAAAATTTTAAGCAGAACTTGAACGTTTAAGGACATCGTTCTTCAATTAAAACATTTATTATTACATAGCCAACATTTATTATTACATAGCTGTTAAAATTTTATTTTTTATTGTTAAAATTGTATAGGCATTATAGTAGTGTTGTGGTTATATGTTTCTTAAAGAGTCCATACTTTTTTAGAAGTACATACTAAAATATTTGCAGGGGAAAAGGTATGATGCCTAGGATTTGCTTCCAGTATGGGAGGGAGTTCATGGGTGGAGGTATGGTTGAAATAAGGTTGGCCCTAAATTAGTAATGTTGAAGCTAGGTAATGTGTTCATGGGGGTTCATACATTATTTGGAACTTTTTTGTTAGGTATGTTTAAATGTTCCATAATACAGAAATTTTAGACTAAAAATTTTTAAGTTTTTTAAAGCATAACAATAAGTAGGAACAAACTACTGATAAAACAACATGAATGAATCTCAAAATCTGTATAATCTGGACCAAAAAAAAAAAAAAGCCAGACCCAAAAGAGTGCTTACTGTATGAATCTATTTCTATAAAATTCTAGAAAATGCAAATAAAAATGTAATGACAGGAAGCAGATCAGTGGTTTCCTGGCTCCGGGAGCAGAGGCGGGGAGCCGCTCTTTGAGGTGATGGAAATGTTTGTTATCTTGATTGTAGTGGTTGTGGTTTCATGGCTGTGTAACCACCTGGTTTTTTAAAAGCTTAAAAACACACTAAGGTTTTGAATTTGTTGTTTTAATAAACGGAACACCAACCTTTTAAACCAGGGATCTGGAAAGGCCGACATAGTAAATATTTTAGACTTAGCAGGACATAAGGTCTCTGTGGCAACTACACTGATATTTGAATTTCACACAGTTTTCACATGTCTCAAAATATTACTCGCTCCATTTTTTCCGACATTTATAAATGTAAAAACGATTTTTAAGTCATGAGCCATACAAATTGGAGTGGGCAGATTTGACCCAGGCCATAGTTTGCTGGACTCCTACAAACTTTTTGCCATTAGACAAAACTAAAAGTAAACTTTTGAATAGTCTTTTCTATATAGGAAAAACCATTCAGAAGGCACAAAACAGCTCACTTTATTATTATTATTATTAGTAGTAGTAGTAGTAGAGTCCTGGTGCATGAAATTTGTGCACCGGTAGGGTCCCTAGGCCTGGCCGGGGATCAGGGCTAATCTGTGGGGCGATTGAAGGACCACCCTGGCACCCACCTTGGCCGGCCTGGTGCAACCCGCCTGGGGGCCCCACCCACCATCGCTGCTGATCACCTCCCTCTGCGGGAGGCAACTGGCAGTGTGATCGGGAGGATGTGGGGGGTGATGCCACCTGCTCGCCACCTGGCCCCACCCCCTGATCACCC